TTTGTGGGCTAGCAAACATAATTAAAATGGTCGAGAAATTTCCTCTCCTTTAAATAGATTCTAATTTGTTTTGGATTTACGTAATTAATCACGTCAATTGAATACCAATTTTTATTTTTGCATTAATTATTCAGTTTAAAAATGGTAATTAATGTATTTCAAATTAAATGTAAAAAAAAACAACTTTGAACAAATGATATATCTTGTTTCCTTTTTCGAACAGTATTTAATTTCCTTACACACCAAATTCCCACCAATTATCAAATTTACTTCACAAACACATTTCCATCTGAAAAAATTTCAAAGTTCCCCGGCAAAATATCAAAAGGAAATTGAATTGCTTGGGGTGTAATTGGAAAAAGTCCCGCTTATTTCAGAACAACATGAAGTGGCAACCACATATTTAACTCAACATAACCTCAGTTCACCGCAATGCACCAGGCTCGGCTAACTGACTGCCAGTCCATTCGAAAAAACATTTTTTTCGGGTTAAACCCCCAAAAAATATGTTAAAAACTAACACCAAAATAAAGTAAAAAAAAACATAGCAAAGCAACAACTGTTACTGTTATGTTATGGCCGAAAAAACGCTCAATTTGAATACACAACTAAATAGGCAGACATTCATACGTGCAATATTTGCCCGAAAAAGAATCCAAAACAAAAATTAATAAAAATGTTAGAGGGAAGTGTGCTATAGTCGGCAGCGTTTACTATTGCTAAGAATCTGCATCAATTCCCACAGAATTTAAACAAAGGTATATAAGTGTGTAATATTACGGAAAATTTTGATCAGATTCGACATCAGAATGTCATGTCCTAATAAATAATTAACATGGGAATACAATAAGTGATCACTAATAAATTTCACCCAATAGGAAAATAAAAATTGGTCCTACAGTGAAAGATTTTTGTACCCAAAGTTAGAATTGGCAGGTAACATCCAATTAAAATGGTAAATGTGACTAAAATTTCAAATACCAAGATGGAGAACATATTATTTTTCATTCAGTTTTTCTTACTTCGAATTATCAGTTGGTATCTCAATAAACTCTTCGTATTCATCATTATAGACTCAATTTGATATGCTATGCATAATTTCATGGAAATCCAAAGAAATATAAGGACAATGATGCTTCATTTACATAAAATTGTACGAACGAAATATATATTGGAGCTATATCTAAATCTTAACTGATTTTCAAATTCAATAGGGTTCGTCCTTAGTTTAAATACGTGGACTGTGCCATCCAATTCGGATAATAAATGCGACCTGTACTTTGTTTACAAAACAGGAACAGACAGAAGGACTGACGGACGGACATGCATATCTCGACTCAGAACCTTTTTGGTCAGCTACAAACATAATACACGGTAGGGTCCACTATTTGTGATAGCTCCGATGTAACGGTGTTATGGAGGGTTTGGGCAAGTTTTTTAATCAAATTGGCTTTGACTTAGTATTTTGAATTATCATTGGATTGACGATATTGGTCCACTTTTAAGGATAATCCCGATATAACGATATCTCCTTTGATTTGGTATTTTGTGAACGTTTTCAACGTTTAAAGTTCGGCCTAGTCGAACAACAACAACGGCCGTCGTGGAATTTTTTGTTCTCTCCGGGTACCCAAAAAGCGATCTTACAACAAATTTTAAAAAATGCCCACTAATGCTTACAATAGATAGATCAAAACATCGAGTTTGATTTATCATATATATACCGTTTCTGATAAACAATATATATATATATATATATATCGATCCCGGGACATATTTTTATAAAATCTTAAAAGATATATAATAAAATCTTACAAGATATATAACTGAATGAATGCTAGGAATTTTCTGGCCTGTAACCAAAAGCTTCGAGATTTTCTCAACGGCGAGATCTGCCGATCTGCTGATAGGACAACGAGGATATATGCACATTATTAAAAGGGGGAAAATAAGTTTATCAAAAAATTAACTCTCTAACTGATAGCTAATGAGGGTTCAGACGCGATGAAAGCATGCGCATATTGATGTTTTGGCTTTGTTTAAAAATATTATGAACGACATTTTTGTAGAATATTTTACCGCCTTAAAATCTCGTTTTTTTTAATTTAGACTACGGTTTAAGAAAATAAGGATCGGATATAGAATGAGGATTGCGAGCAAGAATAGACGGATTGCATGTTAAAAAGAAAATAATTTTATCAGCAGACACATCATTTACAACATACAGGCTTTTAGGCATTTATTAACATTTTCACCCCCAGACCATGAGTTTGTTTTTTGTACATTTTGTTGAAAAAATGTTGGTTCGTTTGACCCGTTAAATATTGAGGCAGCCATTCGCATTAGTTGGTCAAATCGCCTTCCCAATGAAAAATAAATAAAATGAAGTTTACGACCCATTTCATCCCGTAGATACCTGTATATATCTAAGTAAATCTCCCACATCCGGGTACATACAACAATATAGCTGGTAGGGGAGACTGGGGCACCTTCGGCACGTTTTTTTTAGAGCTCTATATCTCAGTACTTATTCAACATATATAACAACTTTATGGCTGATTATTGTCCTCTGACACTTAATTATAAAAAATAGTACCAAAACTATATAAAAAAATAGTATTAGTTAAAAAATTTTACAGTTTTGTAAAAAAAAGTCAAATTCGCCGAATGTGCCCCAACCCGGGGTAGCTTCGGCATTTGATGGGGGCACATTTGCCACCAGAGTCATAGCCGGGTAATTGTCATCGCTATCAGTCTGGTTGAAATTCTGATCCTCTAAAGACTCTATTTGGTTTTAATACGCCACACAATGTTTGAATTATAGGGCTTTATTTTCTAGCGGCGGACGTTGAAATCTCAAGGTCGTACATACCATCAGAAATAGGGGGTTTCTATCGCATTTTCGACAATACAAGCACGTTTGATCTTATATATGCAATTTCGAGCCATATTAAAGGATTAGTTTTAAAGAAAAATCAAAAACATTTTAAGGAAATAATATTGCACAATCTGTATATGGCCGAATGTGCCCACTTTAAAATGCCGAATGTACCCCGATTGTATTTTTTATAGTTTTTTAATTTTTTTCGATCAGATTTGTAAAAACATTATATTTTTATAATAATACACATCGTAGTTAACCACTTTTTAATAATATTGTCTTAAAAATTTGAAAAAATTTTATACACGAAATACTTAGGAAATGGAATTGAAATATTACAGAAACATCTATAAAAATACAAAAACCTATGTATCTAAATAAGCTTATTAGCTATAAATTTCAAACTTTGTGTCAGTTATTTATTTCGATATTCGATACCTATGTATCGAAACTAGTGATGTACGGTGAGAGCTTCATATCGAAAACGCGATTGCCGAAGGTACCCCGATCCCGAAGGTGCCCCAGTCTCCCCTACTTTAAACTTCTTGGGTCCATGTCCTTAATTTCTCACACTATTTCACACACTACATATTTGACCCGCTAAAAACTGACCTATCTTCATCGAAAATCGAAAACATTTTTTCTCCATTTGATATGAAAAGTATTAATCGATTATCAATGAAATTCTAAACTTCATCAATATAAAGGACATTTTGGTCCCATTGACACTCTAAATACTCCACCGTGTTATTTCCTGATGTTCGGTTTCTAAAGTGACTAGCTGATAAATATAAAGTATTTGGTCTACCAAATATTAATCTTTCAATACGAAAATTAATATATGTCGTCTTTGACTAAAACCGAACCTGCAGGCAAAGTTTCGCTGCAATTCGTCAATTACTGGACGTCAACTAATAACTACTTTATACATTTTTAACAAAAATTTACTGTAGAATACTGTAGAACTCAGCTGTTAATTTTAGAATAATTTGGATTACAATTCGAAAGAATCATATTATGTTTCATACGTTATGTGCCGATTTCGCCCTAGTAGTAATATTGAACATTGTATGGTGTGACAAACGGAACACCCAAATTAATATACCCTCGATTTTATTTTGGATACCATAAAAAACATTCCCAAAACCCTAAAACCAAAACATTTTAATATTATGTTTTTGTGGAAATTGCCTAAAACAAACAGAGCAAGAAACCTCCAGAAAAAAACCCAAGTTAACCTACGAGTCAGAGTTGGAGTTTATAGGTGGTGGCATGGTTAAACGCTGACATGGCCCGAAAACTAACACAACTGTTTTTGTTGGTTTTGTGGTTGCATTGTTGCACCACGTATACTCGTTTGGAATGATTTCTCTCCCTCACATAAACACGAAAATAAAACATAAATAGTTAGTTGTATGTAAGGCAAAGACTAACTTCATTTGAAAATTGTTCTTTTTATTTTTTTGGTAATATGAATATTGGGTTGAAGTAAAAAAATGGAAGTTAAAAAATAGAGATTACATCTAAACAAAACAAGCAGGATTCGGCGGTTCCCAAATCAGAAGTACCATGACGATTCCAAAATGCATACTTGGGAATGAAATCGGAATTTTTTCCATAAGCTAGAGAAAACTAACTCTCCTATTGATATAGTTTCCCCTCTGGTTCTTGTATATTTGATATTATTTTCCAAACTTTGATTTTTATTCAACAGCCTCAAATCACTTTCAAAATAAATTTAGCTTTTCCAAAAAAATCCCAAAATATACGATCCCTTGTTATTGTTTCTTTAGTTTTTGTTGTTTTCCACAATAACATGTTCTCATTTTCCATAGAAACAATTGCTGGGCTTTTGTGGCTTCATATAACACGGAACACGGTCGGAACAACTTCACTTTGCCTTTAACCAAATAAGCCACATGGTATTTAGCCGCGCGCCACTCAAATTTCAGAGTTGACATATAAACCCCACTCTTCATGGACAAGCACCCATATATTTAAATTTGTTTGGCTGTGTCTGAGCTTGTGTTTGTGTTTTTGGACACCAACCACTTGTGTAGCGAAAAAACGGTGAAAAAATTCAAAATATTCTTAAAGTGACACGTTAACGGAAACTTACTTGGACAGTTGCTTTGGGAAAGCCGGAAATTGTAATGTAGCCACGTTCTTTTCTCGACAGATTTCCGCCATATGTGGATATATAGGCGAAGCCTAAACGAAACTGTAAATAAATAGAAAAAACACACACACACACATAAATATATAAATGAATAAAAATTTCACAACAACAACAATGTAAATTTCGTTTAATAATGAATGAAAACAACAACATTTTCGGAATGGCTAAATACCGCTGCAAATGAAATTGTTATAAAGGAAATAGTTTTAAGTGGAATGATAGGTTTTAAAGCCAGAATGTTTTTAATATATTTTGTCAATTATGAAGTTAGTTATGATCATATTAAAATTATTGCTTAATTTAGGTTAGTTTTGAATTTGCGGCATCAATCATCGAAGTATTAGGTTGGGGAACAGAATCCATATGAAATATAGGACTTTATTTAATATGATTCGGAATGTCCGATATGCTCCGTTTTGTTGTATGATTTGTTGCCATTTTAAAGGTAACTTCCTCCCTCATAGAAGCCCTGCTCTCTATTTGCAAAAAAAAAGTGAAAAAGCGTTAAGTTCGGCCCAGCCGGACTTTTGGATACCCTCCACCATAGTTATACTGACAGATACATGCAATGAAAATATAGGGAACATACCAAAAAGTGGGCATATACCGATAATTCTACAACCGGATTTATGTAAACCATTATGTACACCAAATACAAACTTCAGCAATTTTTAATGGGGAGTTTTCCTAAAATATGTAAGATCCAAAAAGTGGACTGATACTGATAACGCATGGTAGGGTATAAAATCCTCAGGGGATGCCTAAATGTCTACTGATATATTACATTATTAATAATTTTTGGTGGAGAGATTTTTTACCGTATACGACTACAAAACACCAAATTTCAGCTAATTCGGTTGAAAAACGCGCTCAAGAACCTCAAAATATTGAAAATTGGGGGTACCCTTATATGGGGGCCAACCGAAAAAATTGACGTATATTTATAATTTTTTGTGGAGATATTAGCTATTAGCTATGAGAACTCAAATTACTAAATTACAGCCAATTCGGTGAAAAAATCCGGTAAAAACCCCCCAGAAACTGGAAATTGGGAGGTACCCTTATATGGGGGCTACCAGAAAAAGTGGACCTATATTTATAATTTTTAGTGGGGAAATTTGGTACCCAAATGTACCAAATTTCAGCAAATTCGGTTGAAAACCGCGCTCAAGAACCCAAAAATACCGAAAATTGTGGGTACCCTTATATGGGGGCTACCCGAAAAAATTTACCTATATTTATAATTATACCCTACACAACTATGTTGTCAGGGTATTATAGCTTTGTGCACCCCCAAAAGTTTGTAACGCCTCGAAATATTGGTCCTAGACCCACCTTTAAGTATACCGATCGTCATATCTCGACTAGCTGAGTCGATCTAGACATGTGTGTCCGTCTGTCCATTATAATATGTAAACACGATACAGCCCACAGTTATGGACCAATCTTCACGAAATTTTGCATGTAGGATGGGTTCTGGCCAATGAAGACCCCTATTGTTTTTGATAAAGATCGGTTAATATTTAGGGGATGAAATGGACCAAATACTAAATTTTTGTCGGATTTTCTAGTCGCTCCAGAGGCCGCATTTATGGTCCGAACATCGTGAAATTTTACATGGAGAAGGGGATCGGACCTAAGAATAAGCATGCGTGTTTTGATAAAGGTCGGCCAATATTTAGCGGGTCTAATGGGCCCTGACTTTTGTGTGAAAAATTATAAAATTTTTATTCTGGGGCGTATATACTTGCTCCTGAAGGACATATACTCGAGATGGTGATAGTATGTCCAAGATGAGTTGTTGGCTTTCAAATTGATACCAATTATATGGCTGTATGTACTCCGATGCGGGAGTTATACGTGATTAAGTACAGGTGATTATGTGCATATTATTACTATTACTCTATTAGAGGACGGAAATGTCGTGCTGATCGCTTTGAAATTGTACATGAAGTTCCGATTATGGTCAAGGACGACGCATATAGTTTTCGGTGAAGTTGAGATTTCATTCAGGGGATGCAATGAACCTAAAACTTTAATTTTGTCAGATTTTCTAGTCGCTCTAGAGGCAATTATTATATTCAGAACATCACATATTTTACAAGGTGAAGGGGATGTGACCAAATACTTAGAGCGGCTGTTTAGATAATGATCGGTCAATTTTCTGAGGGTCAAATCAACCAAAACGTAAAGTGACCACTTTTTTATTGTATGGCGTAAAAATACACTTCAAGAAAAAACATTTTGGAAAATGTGCCCCAGTCTCCCCTACGGACTGTACGGCGGATGGAGTCACTGTAGATGTGTGTGACCTAGCGTTGTTCTGGTGGAACACGACATCTCTCCTGTTGATCAATTCTGGTCGTTTCTGCTCAATTGCTATCTTCAAGCGGTCCAGTTGTTGACAGTAGAGGTTAGGATTTAGCGTTTGGCCATATGGAAGCAATTCATAAGAAATAATCCCATTCCAGTCCCACCAAATGCATAGCAGAACCTTCGTGGCCGTTAGTCCTGGTTTGGCCACCGTTTGAGGTGCTTAACCTCTCTTTGACCACGATCGATTTCGCACAGAGTTATCGTATGTGATCCATTTCTCATCTCCAGTCATCATCCGTTTAAGAAATAGGTCTATCTCATTTCGTTCGGACAAGGCTTCGCAGATGGAAATTCGATTCATTCTATCTTTTCTGTCAAGTGGCACCCAAACATCGAGATTCTTTTTGAATCCAGCTTTGTGTAAATGGTTTGAAAGAGTTTAATGGTCGATTTTTAGCTCCTGGATGCTGTTACGATTGCTAACATGCCCTTCATCTTCGATAATTTCTCCGATTTTCGTCGACCGGCCAATGGATTTCTTCTTCCCCAACCAACGGTCCTAAAATATATTAACGAGTTTGAAGGGAAGTGCACTCAGTGCCGAACAGTAGGGAGTATAAGTATTTGTACTTTGTGCTCCCTTTTTAAAACGCTATCATTCCTCAGAATAGTACCATTTACAAAGCAAAAAATATCATGCTTAGCATAAAGAAAAATCATAGGAAATTTTGCATTGTTAACAATTTCAAGAGAACAACCGGCGGAAAAATGTGGAAAATAATAAAAAACAAAACTGAAAAACAAAAACATTTTAATTTATTGTTTAAAAAGCGATTTTTTTCATAGCTATATTTTTTTTTTTGCACATGGACGTTTCATGTTTCTCTTCTTAGACTTTTCGGACCCGGGACAAAATACAAATACACACACAGCCACACACGTACGTACATATGTAGCAGGGTATTATGCATTAAAAACGCCATTTTCCTCATACATTTATAAACACAATGACCACCATTTCGACCATTGTTATAAGCCAACGAAGTGCCCGAAAATACAAAAACAAATGAATAACAACAACAAACCGGGAATGAAAACAATCCTCCTCCGTTTTTCTCATATAGAGCAGCCGTAGCAAACTAACAACATGTATAACTTTGTTGCCAATGTTTTTGTTTTTTGGCTTCCTTTTTTTTGGGGAATGGGAGATCCTTCGTTTTTTTTCCTGTGCAACTCTTTCCGGATTACAACAATGCAAAACCACTACCATAACTTTATGTGCAGCACATTTTTGGTCAAAGCTGAACGATTTTCAGAGCATAGCAGCATAACACCGTGCAGCAAGCAACACACTTTTACTCCAAAGCAAAAATAAAACACAAAAACAATAACAAAAGAAAAAACAAAAACATTATAATTACCAGACTTCCGAGTAACACCAACAGGGCACCGTAACCAACGACTTTACCATCCAAAACGGCAAAATTAATTTCTTTGCCGATGAGCGCAAATGAAACGGGCTTTAAAAATTTCCACAGCAAATCAAGACGTTTGGTTACACTAGACTGCAACGAAAAAAAGAAAAGAAGAAAACAGTTGGCGATTAAGAATTTGTGTGTGTGTGTGTGTTGTTTACGTTTTTAGGGTAATTTATAGGTAATGACTGCGGTTAGTAATGGTAAATTGAAATATTTCTAAATTTTAGAATTTAAAATGGGTTTTTAATGGTGAAAATTTGTACAAAAAAAAAAATAATTATTTCAAATATAAATGGTGATTTTTAAGACATATAGAAAACTTTTTCAAAGAAGAAAATGCAGAACGTGATTTCACATCAAATCGTCCACTCGATTAGTCCACATTATACATACACTTTCCTACATTTCGGCCAGTATCTCACCAAAGAATGCTTCGATAGTGTCTTCCTATTCGCCAATTAAATCGAGCGTGTCTATATAGACGTCAACTTTAACATATAGTCCATTGCCTAAAATCGGACGGTCTATAAAGCCTTTCCGAACGTTAAATAAAATTCTCACCGAACTCACCTCTAAATAATGCCATTATTATGCGTGATATGTGGAATGACTTTCTTTACAGAACACGCATTTTGATAAAAATATTCAACGATTTGCAGCGTTGCAAGAAATTTGCAAGCGTTGCAAGTTGCTTAAACCAGCTACTTTTTAGTACACACATGCCAATTCCCGAATGAGGCACCCAAAACATGGGTTTTAACGCATCATGACCATCATCTGGTGATGGTAATTATACCCTACACAACTATGTTGTCAGGGTATTATAAGTTTGTACAGCCCCAATATTGGCATGTCGGACCGGTTCTTGGTTAATATTTGGTTGGGGAAAATTTTCCATTAGGCCGGTCGTCAAAATGTCGATAAAATCGGAGAAATGATGGAAGTTGATCGGCATGTTAGCATTCGTAACATCGCCCAGGAGCTAAACATCAACCATAAAAGTGTTTTAAGCCATTTACACAAAGCTGAATTAAAAAAGAAGCTCAATGTTTGGTTGCCACATCTATTAACAGAAAAAATAGGATGGATCGAATTTCCATCTGCGAAGCCTTGGCCAAAAGGAATGAGATAAACCCATTTCTTAAACGGATGGTGACTGGAGATGAGAAATGGAACACATACGAATACTCTCAGCGAAAACGATCGTGGTCAAAGAGCGGTGAAGCACCACAAACGATGGCCAAACCAGGACTAACGGCCAGGAAATTTCTGCTATGCAGAATTTTTTTTGCAAATATAGAGTAGGACTTTTATGAGAGAGACACTATAAAGTTACCATTAAAATGGCAACTTTTGTGCATATTTTTTTTAACAGGCAAAAGTAATCGAGATAGACCCATGGTTCCTTTTAAGAATATGCATAGAATCACTTTCTGAGTCGATTTATACATGTCCGTCCGTCTGTCCATGTTAAATTGTAAACAAAGTACAGGTCGAATTTATGATCCGAATTGGATGAAATTTGGCACAGCTCACAGCCAAGGACGAACCCTCTTGAAATTGGGAAAAATCGGTTCTGATTTAGATATAGCACCCATATATATTTTCGTCCGATTTAAAGAAAATGGCGTATCAAAGTCCCTATATATCTTTCGATTTGCACAAAATTTGGCCCAGCGTAATGAATTAGGTCTAGAATGATCTGTGTTAAGTTTCCTGAAAACCGGTTCAGATTTAGATATAGCTCCCATATATATTTTCGTCCGATTTAATGTAAATGGTGAAACAAAGTCCCTATATATCATTCGATTTTCAGAAAATTTGGCACAGCGTAATGAATTAGGTCTAGAATGATGTGTGTTAAGTTTCCTGAAAATCGGTTCAGATTTAGATATAGCTCCCATATATATTTTCGTTCGATTTAATGTAAATGGTCCACAAAGTCCATATATATCATTCGATTTTCACGAAATTTGGCACAGCGTAATGAATTAGGTATAGCATGACGTGTGTTAAGTTTCCCGGAAATCGGTTCAGATTTAGATATAGCTCCCATATATTTTTTCGTCCGATTTAATGTGAATGGTCTACCAAAGTCCCTATATATCTTTCGATTTGCACGAAATTTGGCACAGCGAAATGAATTATGTATAGAATGATGTGTGTTAAGTTTCCCGGAAATCGATTCAGATACTATATCTGACCAAAAAAATAAAAATTTAGTATCGGTTGCAGAATGAAATGTTTATGAATCAAATTTCATTCCTTTAAAAATGCGACGTCTGTTGGGATACATCTTTTGAATATAGACAAAGTGGTGAAGGGTATCATATAGTTGGCCCCGTCCGACTTTACTACTTTCCTTATTGGTTAATAAATAGATTGGTATTCCCGTCACTTAACGCCCGAAAAATAATATTCTTAAAGCTGTCAAATTTTTAAAACATAAAGTTTTTTTTCTGTCCTACAACATAAATTAGTCAATTTGTATATTTTTAATTACGCAAATTCATTCCAGGTATTCCAAAATATTTTTTTAAAAAATTACATTTTCTTCATAAAAGTCTATATGACACTCTTGTGCGTGTAATGTCAAAATGCACACACAAATTTTACTTTTGATAAACCTGTCATGTAAAATTATGTCCTAACACTTGTCTAACCAATTATTTGAGCATAAATTTTCTTTTAGCACTTATCTAATGGATTGTCGTAGTTTTTTGTGTTGTTGTACAAATGTCTCACCCCATCACCCCTCATGACCACTCTCCATTACAAGATGAGTGCGTCTTTTATTATCACTTTAACACAAACTTGAGTGCATACAAAGTGGTTTTATCATGACTTTACATGCCAACCAAAAAACGGGATGGGGTGGGTCAGGGATGCCCAAAGATTTCTTGTGTCAGGTTTTCTTTTCTTTTCCAATTTTGTTTTTTAACCGGCACTTCAGCACGGCTTAGTGAATGTGTAAATTTGAGCTCTGTGTGTGTGTGTTCAGCTGCAGCTGCTCGGCTGTCATTGTATTTGTGAAAAATGAAAGCATTTCACACTAAAAGTAACCCCGTAAGAGAAAATCTTATCAAAAAGTCAACCTTGTTGACACATTTAATTGCAAAGACAGCTTATGACATTTGATTTCATTCAGTTCCTTTTTGCTTTCCTTTGTTTTTGTACTGCTTCTTCTTCTTTTAGTGCTATCTACTGTTCACAACTATCAGTTTTCTTTCTAGTTTTTCTTCTTCGTTTTTTCCACTTCTCAGTTTTTTTAAGTATCGAAATGCAGTCAGGGCCATTAAGTAGGAAATGTTGGTGAAACAACACAAACAAATAAATGGGGAAAAAACTAAGTAACAACAATAACAACAAAAACTACAAAATGTCTAAAGTCAAGCACGGTATACGGCTGTTAAGATAACAAGATGAGATGAGAAAGAAATGAAAGTAGAGACAGCTAGAAAAATAGCAACAAGAACAATGTGATGGGAAAAAATCTAAAAATAGAGGAAACGAAATGAAATATTCTATACAAAAAATAAATGGAAATAAAAAAAAAAAACAAATTCGTATTGAATTGAGTTTTTGCAACTATTTACGAAAAGTTTCTTTTTCAGAAACGAGGTCTAAATTTTCCTAAAATAGGGAACATTGAGTGTTGTGCATATTATGATCTTAGATTTCCTTTGCAAAGTTTGACATTTTTCCGTGCTCATTGACATACGAAACTGTGTTGTGTTCTTTACAGTGTCTTAAGAAAACAATTTGTGGTTGATCACGACAGGTGTACATCGATGAACTTATAGTAAATCCTTGTATTTCGATAAAGCATCATTGTGAAAAATTGGTCATTTTGCCATAGAACATTAATAACACATCGTGACGTGACATATAGTGAGATACAGCAATCGTTGGACATTTCTAGTTGTTAACCAGTAAGGAAAGTAGTAAAGTCGGACTGGGCCGACTATATGATACCCTTCACCACTATGGGTACATGCAAGACATGTTAATATCTACAATATCCTGTAGATATAGAAATTTCGCATACATCAGTCGGGACCTAATTCAGTACTCTGCGCAAAATTTTGTCTCAATCGGATAAATATTGGCAGTATGGAGCTTCATTTACATAAAATGGGACGAAACTATATATAGCAGCTATGTCTAAATCTGAACCGATTCCAACAAAATTTCAAATACATCAGTCGGGACCTAATTCAGTACTCTGTGCAAAATTTTGCTTTAGTCGGACCACTATTGGGAGTTTGGTGCACTATTTACATTAAATCGGACGAAACCATATCTAAATCTGAACCAATTTAAAAAAAAACTTGGCATAGAACTATTTAGACCTAATTCAATAACTCTGTGCAAAACTTTGTCTCAATCGGATCACTATTGGGAGTTTGGTGCATCAATAAGTTAAAATCGGACGAAAATGTATATGGGAGCTATATATATATATATATAGGGTTCGTCCTTGATCCTATTAAGTGACCTGTGCCAAATTTCATCCAAATCGGATCATAAATGGGACCTGTACTTTGTTAACAAAAATGCATGGACGGACATGCATAAATCGACTCAGAAAGTGATACTATGCATATTCTCAAGGAACCATGGGTGTATTTCGATTTTTTCCTGTTACAAACATATGCACAAAGACACAATACCCTGTACCACAGTGTGGTGAAGGTTATAAAAAGAGGGTTATATGGGGGGTGGACTACCCCTAAAAGGGGGCGAATATTAATAATTTTTGGAAGGGAGGTTTGTTACCATATACGACTACAAAAAAACCAAATTAAAGAATTCGGTTGAAAAACGCGCTCAAGAACCCCAAAATACCGAAAATTGGGGGGTACCTTTATATGGGGGCTACCCAAAAAAATGGGCTTATATTTATAATTTATAGTGGAACCCCAAAATACCAACAATTTGGGTGTACCGTTATATGGGGGATGTCAGAAAAACTGGACCTATATTTATAATTTTTAGGGGAGTAATTTGGTACCCAATAAGAACCCAATATCAAGAACCCCAAAATACCGAAAATTGGGGGTACCTTTATATGGAGACTATCGGAA